TATTCTCTTAAAGCATACATCAAAATAAACTCTACAAATATAATTTTACTTTTATAAATTTGCTGTTTCAAAAAATATTGCTACTTGTGTATTCTATATTTTTACTATTAAATTAATGTTAATATATAATACACAATAAAAAATCTTAATCAACAAATAAAACACACCATTCAATCTTCTATATATCTAAAAAAATTAAAATTCTACAAAAAAATACTAATAAACAATTAGAACAAACCAATATATAACACTAACTAATAAACATCACAGCACCTTTTAAAAATGCTCTAAATAATTTTGTATAGCATATTTATATACAATATTTATTTCTTACCATATAATCTACAGTACCACTTTATAACAAGCTTAATACTAAATAACAAAACCTATTCTATTCAGAAATCATCAATAATGCATCCACATAACCAACAATTTACAAACTAATAAAAAATAAGTTGCTATTGATTACATTATGACAACCTTATGCTTTCTGACAATATACACCTGGTTCTTTTAATTGTTGGGGTGAAGTTAACACTGGCTACTCTAGATTTTTCAGCTTCAATTGGAAGAATTGGCAGTTTAGGATCAAGCTTCCATTTTTTTCAGTATTTTTTGTATTAAGAAACTTTCTTAAGTATAGGCCGTCATTGCAAACAATTTGTTGCAGTTAAACGATCAAGTTAAGAACATTTTCTATATCTATGCTAACATTACCAGATTGCAAATCGAAACTTGCGACATCTTGATCATAGGTATAAAGGATCGAGTCACATCTTGGTTAAAGAATAGTCTCAATACACCAAGACGTATGTGTGCATCATTTACCAGGGCTAGGTGGACTCTGATACTAGATATATCAGATGCGGAAGGATTATGCGCTGATAGGATACAGTTTAATATATGTGAGGCTTCAGCGACAATGACTGCAAAGTCTTTATGTACTTGCATACCTCTGACCTCAAACTCTAAAATGAAAAATGAGTATTGTTCTTTTGTTGCTAATGATATAACAGCATATGCAAAGTCGGATCTCGCCGATCCCCTTCCACTATTACCGGGGATTTTATACTGGAATTCCCATATGGGTTCAAAATTATTGACACTAAGTGTAAATGCGTCAGATAAGATTTTTGCCCAGAACTGGGACTTAAAATGGTTTTCAGAAGGACGGCCACCAAGACAGACCGGAGAAGTTATAAATAGTAACACAGAGGTTAATGCTGATAGAGCTGTAGATACATCAATATCATAATTCACCTTTTCCGAACACAGCCAATGTTGTATTGTGCCCATAAAACCCAATGGTACTACTCCCACTGCACCTTCTTTTATAATCCGGTTGATGATTGGAATCGCATCTTGTAATTTTTGGTGTCAGGTACTTTTGAAAACCACAAAAATCATACCAATATTTATCGCTGGTTTTCGCAAAACTGGACAGGGTATAGGAACCTGTGATGGGAACAATCCGCTATCAACACTGACCATCTAAGTAATTTAAGAAGATGTCTTTCACGCTGCGATTCCTCTTCAATATGATGCTGCTCTAATTGCTTTAATATTATGTAATATTCTTTTATTGCTGGAAAATCTACCATATTTGCTAAGATATGGTTGGTGCTTGGTGTTGATCTGGTACTAGCACTTGGTAGTGGACTAGCACTTGGTGATAGATTGGCACTTGGTGATGGACTGGCACTTGGTGATGGATTTTCATTTTTCTTGTTCTCCTAAATATAATAATAAGTAATTAAATAGAGATTAATAAAGTGTTTAAGTAGTATGTTTGTTAGTAGCAGGATAAATGTAAGATTCTTTTAATAAGATGCATAACTGATTCTTAGTTTACCTTATTTCAAGAACCTTCATTAGATTATTATTCCCTGGTGGAAATCTTAAAAACCATACATGCTAAATAGGCTATAAAACAATGGCCGATCAAAGAAGAACGTTCACAGGAAGTCTTATGGCTACGAGGCACTTCCGTTCTTTGTATCGTATGGCCTGCCTGAGAGCGTCTTCGTAACATTATTCCATAAAGATGGCACTCTTTCACTGCATCAAAACAATGACTCAGGCGCCTCACGAAAGTAATCTAAAGAAAAAAGGTTCTCACGTTACTTAAAAATATAATTACCTTAGAGAAGCTGATCTTTTTGAAACGATAACGATAAATGTCTTGCATTTGTATGTAACGTGATGTTGGAAAAACAATAGTTATCGTGCAAGACGAAATTTTATTTTAAAGTTATTTGTCACATATGTGATTGTGGCTTATATATCACCAAGCCAATCAGATTTCAGGAATACGTGTAACGTAGTACGATCAGGAAATTCAAAACACGCTCATAACTCAAAAATCCATATAGGAAACCACTTTCAGTATTCTAACAAAAAGTTTTCCTTGGACGATTTTACTAATAATCATGCCATAATCTAATCCTAAATGCTAACCCAACCTTAATGACTTTTAAAAATTTTATCGATCTTATATGAGACAATATCACGTTCGTGACAATTAACTTTTTCCTTATTTTAGTTCTATTGAAAACCAATGTTACACAAGTTTATTTTTATTGGTTGTTTATTTCTATTGATATATTGTTTACAATAGAAAAATGGACATAGGTTACATATAAGCGTTTAAAATCGAATGTTTCCACCAACTTTTAATTATAACGAACCCGACAAATATAGTTTTATTTGTGTGGGTTTGTTGGTTCAAGAGTTATTGCAGCTTGAGCTTTCT